CAGACCTATTAGGGTCAGAGCTGAGTTTTTCGACATTGAATATCTGAGTCCTGTATTTGTCTCCTTGGTTCCCTTCATCAGCACTTTGTGATTTTCAGCACACAGACCTCATATTGTTTTGTTAGATTTGTACGTAAGTATTCTGGCTTATACTAGTATATATGGTACTCTTTAATTTCAATTTCTAATAATTTATTTCTAGTCTCCAGAAAGTCAATCTATTTCATGTTTATTGATCTTATATTCTGAGAATTCACTAAACTTGCTTACTAGATCTAGTAGCTTTATTGAAAATCCATTGGGACTTTCTATTGGATGATCATGCATCTGCAAATAGAGAGGGTTTTATTTCAGTATGTATGCATGTTCTTTTCTGATTGCATAATCCAGGACTTTCAGTAGGATGTTTGATAAGGGTGTAAGAGTAGACATTTCTGTCTTGTTCCCAATTTTAGGGGGAAAACATTCAGTCTTTCACCATTAAGTATGACATTAGCTGGAATTCATTTCATTTTGTTTGTTTGTTTTGGTTTTGGTAAATGTGTCAAGAAAGTTCTCTTCTATTTCTAGTTTGCTAAGACTTTTTTAAAAATCAGAAACTGATGTAAATTTTTCAAATGCCTTTTCCATATTCTTTGAGATGATGACACACTTTTTTTTCTTAAGTCTAATGCTAGAGTAAATTGTATTAATTGGTTTTCTAATATCAGTCTTCCATTTCTAGGCTCAATTCCACTTAGTTCTAAAAGATTATTCTTTTATGTATTGCTAGATTCAATTTGCTAAAAATTTATTGAAGAATTTTGCATCTGTGTTCATGAGGATTATTAATAGTTTTATCGTTTGGTATCAGGGAAAGGCTGCCAAATAAAATAAGTTGGGAACTAGAGTAACTGAAGTCCTCTTCTGTTTTCTGGAAGAGTTCCTGTAGCATTCCATTCGTTTTTTGCAGAATTAGTACTATCGTGTGATTGTATTTTTGATTCGCTCATTCACTTGTACACCTGTTTGTATTCAGAACCTGCCAACTTGTAAGTTTATTCATGATTAGAGGAACCCCCTCCCCAACCGCGGCCTTTACCATAGGGTCCGGCCGCTGCTCTGCAGTGCTTGTGTGTGTGATAAAGCAACAGAAGGCTCACAGCCACCTCTCACAGGTGGCTCAGCAGCACTAACACAGTCACACTCTTGTGCAGCCAGGATCACACCATCTCCTGAACCCTTGCCTCGCCCTCCACCGAGGCTGACCTCCCGGCCCCCACGGCCCCGAGAACCCCCAGGCTGCTTGCCGTCTCTGTGGCTTGGACTGTTGTGAACCTCACAGAAGCAGCATCACGCGGCACCTGTCCTAGTCGGGCTGACTCCGTCCAGCTCGAGGTCCTGCAGGCTCCCAATGCCCCAGTGGGTTCCGCGTACCCACGTCAGAGCTCACTGCCTTGTAAGGCTGGCTGTGTGCAAAGCCCGCGTGGTTTGTCCACTCACCTCTCCGTGACGGCAGTGTTCCCGCTTTGCCTGTGTGGACCATGCTGCTGTGAGCAGGGGTGTGCGCCTCCTGTGCATGTCCTGCTCCCAGGGATTTGGGTCCGTATCCAGTGGGGGTGGGGGGGGCTGGATCTGATGGTCATTCTGTGTTTCTTTTTCTGAGAAGCCACCATGTAATTTTCCAAGTGGCTGCACTGTTGACCTTCCTGTCCCAGGGCCAGAGAGCTCTAGTCTCCTCACCCTTGCCATACGTGTCCCTGCCCCCTCCCCCCCTCCCTCCCCCCTCCCTCCTTCCCTCCCTCCTTCCCTCCCTCCTCCCTCCCTTCCTGCCTGCCTTCCTACCTTGTCTCCCTTGTGGACGTGAAGTCCTCTCTCACCACCTTTGCACCATTGTGCTTTGCAGAATTTCTGCGACCATGGAGGTCCACCTGTTGAGATCAAGTGCCAACAGGCGGGCCCCTGTCTCTGGGCAGGACTGGACATGAGACTTAGAGCCAGTCATTGCGTATCGTGACTCTCAACTTACCAAGCCTCCTGGGGGCACAGCCAATCCCCTCCTCCGTCTCCAGTGACTGGCTCTGGAGCAGGGGAGTTTCAGGGCCTTTTAAGGGAACTTCCTTTGCTTCCCACACTGAGCCTGAGGTAGTGGCTGGAGGAGGCGTTACAAGGGCCTGTCGTTGATGTCTGACACAGTGCCAGGATGATAGCGTGTGAGCTCCTTTCCTCTCCGTGACTCAGTTTCCCCATCTTGACACAGTAGATTGGATCAGAGTGGTGGTTTCCAGCCCTAGCTACATACCACAATCACTTGAAGAGCTCTCAAAATCCTCATTTGCAGTTAGTTGTGGGGCCACACCTGTAATCCCAGTGACCCAGGAGGCTGAGGCAGGAGGACCACAAATTCAAGGCCAACCTCAGCAACTTAGTGAGGCCCTAAGCAACTTAGTGAGACCCTGTCTCAAAAAAGACTAGGGATGTGGCTTAGTGGTAAAGCACCCATGGGTTCAATCCCTAGTACCCCTCCCCGCAAACAACCCCATTTGCAGAACTCAGCCTTGGACTAATCACTAATCACGGGCTGGGGCCCAGGCTTGGTATTCTCAAAGCTTCCTAATGGTGGCCTGTGTGGCCAGGGATGAGACCCTGGGTTAGAGCCATGGCCCCCATAGCTGCCTGGTTGTGAGACTCACTTGAGCTGTTGATTTATAAATACTTCATATTTATAATAAATATTATAAATCATAAATATTTATAATACAGGGTAATCCGTCCCTCCCTGGAGGTTTTGGCTCAACAGCTCAGGGGGCAGTGGGTGCCCAGATCTGCATTTTAGACAAGCCATCTAGATGTGCTCACCATCAGACAAAGCTCGGGAACAGGATCGGCGTGGCCATTCTCCTACCTTCATGTGCTAGGGGTCATCTGGTTCAGCGGGTGGGCACTGGGGCTTGAGATCTGCAGACCAGTAGCCCCAGGCCCAGGCCGTTCAGGCTTAGTGTGACCAGGGCCTCCAAGGTCCTTCCACTGCCCCCTGCCCCTGCGCCCAGGCTGCCCCAGCTGGAAGGCAGGCACGGCTCCGTCCTGCTGCGGCTAAGCCCCGGCTACACTCACCCGGTCTGCCCCGTGCCCCTCTGAGAATCTGCTTTCACCATTCCCCTTTCTGGTGTGTTACGTGGCACAGGGGCAGGGCCGTGCGCGGGGCAGACGTCAGCAGAGCATCCTGGCCTTGGAGAGGTGTTAGGTGTCATATTGCAGGAAACGCAGTCCAGACCAACTGAAACTGAGAAAAGAGGTTTACGTGTTCATGTCAGAGAAATGCTGAGGGTGTGCTGGCTTCAGGCACGTCCTGATCCAGGGCCCCACACTGTCTCTCCCCATCTCTCTGCTCTCTCAGCAGGGCTCTCTCTGGGTAACCTGGACTTGCAAGCCATTTGCTTTGCAGCCTCAGCAGAAATGAGGCTCCCTTCTCTCCAGCATGCACTGGGGCAGCCCTCCGTGGATCGGCCTGCATCCTGAGCCAATTCCTGTGGCCAGGAGGAGCCGGCGCTCAGACTGGCCACCTCTAGGCCTCCCTCATGTCCAGTGCTGCAGCCCTGGGCAAGTTAGTTCCATGAGGCCTTGAGATGAGAGGAAACTGGGGAAAGTGTGTCCACAGCTGGGGGAAATGGTCCTCGTGCAGTCCCAGCAGCAGTCCGGCTTGGCCTCTCCTGCAGGCCTCCCTAAGGCAGGAGGTTCTGGCTGAGAACAGCTACGAGGAGCCTCTCTAAGCCCTGTCTCCCTTGGAGAGTCCCCATGTGGTTGACGGTCCTACCTAATTCCCAGGGGGTCGCAGCACCTGCAGGCTCCCTAGCTCAGAACCCCACCCAGAGGCAGCCATCCCACCGCCAGGCAAGCGGGCTGCCTCCCACCCTCCTGAGCCAGGCAAGGAGCGCCCGCGTCCTCTGCCAGCCGCTGCCCTGGAGAGTCTGTGAGCCCCCTGGGAATCTCCTGTCCAGGGTCCCTCCAGCCCTGTGCTCGAGAGCCACCAGGATTGTGGCCAGGTGGGAAATCACCACGAGGAGGCGGAGCGCAGGCCGTGGGTGTGTGAGCGTGTTGGTCGTCACCGATGCTGTCCCCAGTGGGAAGTGTGCACCTCAGACACAGACCCAGGCACCAACAGTGACGGCCTGTCCTGCTGGGAGCTGGCGCGCTGAGCCCGCGGCGCTGGCCCTGGGCCCTCACGCTGGCTGAAGGCGAAGGGCAGGGAGCACGGGACGTCCCAGCAGCTGCTGCCTGGGGAGCAGCTTCCCTGAGACCTCTCTGTGGGGACACCGTGGTAGTCAGCATGTGCAGGGTGCAGGCCACTCACATCAGGGTGGCCAGCCTTCCCCTCTCCTCGGATGCAGATGGCTTTTATGTGTGGGGAATGTCACACTCTTCTGGGCATTTTGAGAATTGGCTGGTTTCAGCGGGTGGTGACTGCTGGGCTGGAACAGGGCAGTTGTGCCCCGCCCGCGTCTGGTGTGCAGGGAGCTTCTCGCCACCCGCCCTCTGCCCGCCCTTCCAGCCCCGTGAGCACCTTCCATTCTGTTCTTCTGTGAGATTCGCGAGTGAGACCGTGTGTCCTTGTCCCCTGTGTCTGGCTTATCTCACTTAACATGATGACCTCAGGTGCCATCCACGTTGCTGCTTCTCCTCGCAGCTCCAGAGGAGGGCACGCCACGCCACCCTGCGCCTTGCGGGAAGCCTGGGCTGGTGGGGGCAGCGTGGGGAGAGCAGGGCCCAGAGCCTGCACTGTGGCTCTGGGCGAGGACTGGGCAAGGCAGGGGAGGGTCACAGAAAGCTTCAGCCTGGGCAGCTGGAATAATTCTGGTGGCTCTGGCTGCCTGGCGCCTGGCCCCGGGGTGATGCTGGCAGGGGACGTGGGCTGGCAGCCGTGGGCTGGCGGGGTGGGAGTGTACCTGGGCTCAGGAGGCCCAGGCCTGGGTTGTCACAGCACCATGAGTCCAGGTCGTGACAGGTATGCTCTGTGCCCGTAGGGTGTTTTTCCTGAACGTGCCGTTCGATTCTATCATGGAGCGGCTGACCCTGAGAAGAGTGGATCCAGTCACAGGAGAAAGGTTTGTGCCTCTTCCTGGTAGCTGGCCACCCAGGGCTGCTAGCAGCCAGGCCCACCTGGGGAGCCCTCTCCTAGCTGTGACCAGTGCCTTAAAGGACCTGCCCCAGGGATACACTTGGGGATGATTGAGGGGGCTAGAAATGGGGTCCCCACTAGCTCTTCTGAGCATGCCTGGTGGCCCTCTTTGTAACCAGGAGAGGACTGTCCAGAGCTCTCAGGACACTGGCACTCTGTCCTGGGTCAGCAGCTGTGCCCAGCATGTGAAACGGCTGCACCGGCTGCAAATGGGTGGGTAGGTGTCCCCTGTCACACACCAGTGGCCTTGGCCAGGAGGCCCCCAGAGCTGGCAGCTGTACAGATGCATTCCCGCGGGAACCGGCTCATCCTTGAGTCCTCCCGAGGGCTGGGGGTGGATTCTGCATTCTGCATTCATTCTGCAGTCTGACCCAGCACAGTCACTGCACTGTGGCCTCCGGGCAAGTTCCGCCTGCCCAGGCCAAAGCTTTCTGTGACCCTCCCCTGCCACAGTGCAGCAGAAATGCACCTGAAAGTCCCCACGGTCCAAAGGTGCCCCAGCTCTCCTCTTCCCTGGGAACCAGGGGCATGTTTCAGGTAGGGACAGGAGTGGGGACGAGGAGAAGGAGGTGCCAGAGAGGGTTTTTCTGAATACGGATCTGGTCTGTCCTCCTGGCTCCGGCGACAGTCCTCAGTGCCGTCTGGCACTTCCTGCCACGCCCCTCCTTGAGTCCCAGGAACACAGGATCACGGTCGGTCGGTGCCCAGCAGCAGGTGTGATGCAGGCTTAAAGTAGAGGCTTAACGAGGATCGTTGGGAGGAAAAAGCCAAGAAGAGAGTGGGGGAGGGGGGAGGGCTGGGGGTGGTCCCTCGCAGCCACCTCCTAGCTGATGTCTCTGCTCCGACCCCAGCGGGCACCAGATCTTGGGTCACTCAGCAGCTCAAGGCAGTCAGGAGTGTACATGCAGCTTGTGCCCAGGAGTGCTGGGCTGGTGGTGATGGCTGACAGTGCCCAGCAACCTGGTCCGCGTAGGACAGCCAGCCTGTGGTCACCTGTTCCCTTCTCCTTCGTAGGTACCACCTCATGTACAAGCCGCCCCCCACCATGGAGATCCAGGCTCGTCTCTTGCAGCACCCAAAGGATTCTGAGGAGCGGGTCAAGTTCAAGGTGGATCTGTACTACAGGAACTCCGCCGAGCTGGGGCACTTCTACAGGTGGGCCACCACCATCAACGGGGACCAGGACCCCTACACCGTCTTTGAGTACATCGAGAGCGGGATCATCAATCCCCTGCCCAAGAAAGGGCTCTGATGGGCTCAGAGCAAGGAGCAGGCCCAGTGGACCCCGCCCGCCTCCTGGAAAACCCCACCAAGCCAATAAAGAGTGCTGGTGACAGACTTGTGTGTCCTGGGGGGACAGTGGCTGCAAGGTGGCCTTGTTAGGAGTCTGGGAACACAGAGCAGGGAGCCCTGGGCCAGGCCTTGGGAGTGTCCCCTGGGGACCCAGTGCAGTGACGCACAGCTCCTAGCAGGTGTCTGGCACACAGCAAGCAGCCTGGGAAGTGGGACTCTGGGGGTGACTGTTATGCTCCCTCACCCCACCCTGTCCAGTCCAGCAGCCTCTAGCCACAGGGCACTGTGGGGCACCTGAAATGCGGCTGGGGCCATGTTGTTTAACCTCCATGGTTTAAGTACCTCAGGGGCTAGTGGCTGCCATCTGGGGCAGCACAGGGCTGGACAGACAGCTGGTCTCCAGACTGCCTCCTGCAGGTCCCTCTGGGTGGGAGAAAGTGAGTCCCTCTGCAGGGCCAGGAGGGATGTGGGGGACAGCAATGCCTTAGGCTGATGGGGTGACCAGCCCTTCCAAGCCCTGCCATGTTTCTCCTGCACACCACAATGGTCTCTTTAGGTAGGTGCTTGTCCCATGGACGCAGAGTGTAGATGACCTGCTAAGGCCACTTGATCAAGGCTGGAAGGTGCTCTAGCCCTGGGGCTCTGGGAAGTCCAGGGCTGTGGGTCCGAAGGCCAGAGCCCCTCCTGGCCTGGGCTAGTGCAGAGCTCCTCCAGCACAGCCCCTGCTCAGCTGCTGTGCTGAGCCGTGCCTCTGGGCCCACCCTGCTTCTGCCCTGGGCCCTGGCAGGTTGAGCCAGGCCCCATGGGGTTGGGCCCTCACTTGGAAGGTCCTGCCTTCTGTGGCCAGCCTAAGCCATGCCGCACCTCCCTGCCCAGCTCTGACACTGGGGGTCACCTGAAACTCCACTGGGGCCTCCCTGCCCAGGCCCCAGTTCTCCCACCCTCCATGCACCCCAGGAGGGTCTGTGACAGACTGTTCTGCAGGTGACACAGCTGCCCCTTTGAATTGTGGGAGATAGCAAGGAGGGAAGCGGCCAGCACTGGCCTGCCTAGGGTCACTTTCCCCACCTTAGCTCTCCCGGCTGCCTGGCCTCTGGGTTGCCCACTCTGCCATTTGTCTTGCCCTCCCCTGCCACCCAGCTCAGCGGTGCCCACTGTGCTGAGCTGCTGGATGCAGCACGCCGAGGCAGGTGGTGTCCCTGCCAAGAGCTGGGCATGGAGCCCTGCAGCCCAGCCCTGTGTGCTGCTCTGTGGCCTTGGGAAGTCACTCACCTGTCTGGGGATTTGTAAATAAGAATAAATGTAGTGCCTCCTGGGAGGTCGTGACATATAGTGAGTCCCTCCCGGTGCCATCCCAGACGCAGGGACCATGCGGGCCGCAGGTGGGGCCCATCGAGCTGGGGGACCTGCAGATCACTCCCTGGGAGGTGAGGGCTGGGGGCCTTCCCTGGCGGCACGCTGCCGCCCTCCCTGGCTTTGCAGGCCGGGCTGCGCCTGCTCGGGCTGGAGGGAGGCACAGTGAATTGGGCTCCTAATTGGAGCTGCAGCCTAAGGGGCGGCCTGGCTGCCTTGATGAGCGTCCAGCCCAGCCCACAGTGGTGCTCAGGGCTCCTGGTCCAGGGAGGCCACTCCTGTGGCTGCAAGGCGAATCTTGCTAATTTACTGGTGAGCAGCTGTGATGAATGAACCACTGAGGTCTGATCAACGTCACCTGCAGGAGAACAAACTGCTTCTGACGCTGTCGTCTGTGGCTCCACAGCCCATCGCCGCCCGGCACGCCCGCCTCTCTATCCTAAGTGGTCAGTGCGCAGGCTCCCTCGCTCGGCCCAGCACACTCTGTGCGGTTCCCTCTGCGCCCCTGGCAGTGGAAAGGCACAGGTGTGAGGGGCACAGGTGGGGTGTCTGGCCGCCTGCCCCCCCACAGCCTCTATCCCAAGCTGCAGAGGATGAGGACAGGATCACCTCTGCCCTGAGCTGGGCCAATCGGCTTCTCTCTCCCAGAAGAGAATAAGAACTATGATCACTGTCCTCTGTGGCTTGTGGGAGAGGGACATCAGGGCTGCCTGGCCAGTGTGCAGCACATCAAAGCAATGACAGTTAATCTGGGAATAAAGCGACGCAGGCTCATCCCTCCCTCCTTCATCCCACAAGCATTAATTGAGGACTTATCACATGCCCAGCACTGGGGACACAGTAGAGAAAAAAGGGACAAGATTTCTGCCCTTATGGGACTGATATCTTATAAAGATGCCAGAAATGAATGAAAGAAAAGGAAATTCAGATTTTGGGTGGCTCCTGATACCCTTCCTTGCTGATCCTCCCTGCAGACCAGCCTGTTTTGTCTGCCAGAGGGGAGCAGGTGGGAGGGACTCAAAGGGGGTCACAACTCACAGGAGAACCCTTTAGGAGGGCAAAGGTGACTTGGAAGCTGAGTTCTAAGGCACATAAGAGGGCTCAGGTGCATGGGGAAAAAAACACACGTGTGTTTTAGTTGACCGTGGAACATGCTGCCATTAAAAAAAATAAAAACAAATATTGTGATTATTGAAATATGTTCCTTGTAGAAAATCCAAACAACATGGCAGAAGCATATCAAATAGGGAGTGAACACCTCCAGCAAAACTCTTAATGTCATTTCCTGCAGATAACTGCACTTTTGGATGATGGATGGATGGATGACAGATGAATAGATGGATGACAGATGAATAGATGGATGATGGATGGATGGGTGCATGGATGATGGATTGATGGATGATGAATGGATGGATGGATTGATGACGGATGATGGATGGATTTATGGATAGATTGATGCATAGATGGATGAATGGATGGATGATGGATTGATGGATGGTGGATGGATGATGGATGGATGGATGGATGGATGGATGATGGATGGATGGATGATGGATGACTGATTGATGGATGATGAATGGATAGATGGAAGGATGATGGATAGATGGAAGGATGATGGATAGATGGAAGGATGATGGATGGATAAAGGATTGATGGATGATGGATAGATGGATTGATGACAGATGGATGACTGATGGATAATGGTTGGATGGATTGATAAATGATAGATAGATGGATGGACAGATGGATAATTGATGACGGATGGATGGATGATGGATGACAGATTGATGGACGATGAATGGATGAGGGATGGACAGATGATGGGTGGTGAATAGATAGATGATGGATGTATGATGATGGATGTATGATTGATGGATGAATGGATGGGTGGATGAATGGATGATGGATGACTGATGGATGATGGATTGATGATGGATGGATAGACGGGTGATGGATGGATGGATGACAGATGGAGAGATGATGGATGGATGGATGGATGATGGATGGTATATGGATGATTATGAATGGATGGGTGATCGATGGATTTGATGGATGGATGGATAGATGATGGATGATGGATAGATGGATGGATGATGGATGACAGATTGAAGGATGATGGATGGATGATGGGTGGATGACAGACGACGAATGGAAAGGAACATTTGGGGGATTGTACTGTATTGGGTCCTCTGTAACCTTTTTAAAAAAATGTGGTAAGAACCCTTGATATTAAAATCTACACTCTTACACGTTGAAATGTACAGTCCAGCACTGCCAACTTCAGGTCCCTGGAACTCATTCTTCTTGCACAACTGAAACTGTGACCACTGGACCGCAGCTCTCCACTGCCTCCTCTTCCCTGGTGGCCATCACCACTCTACTCTGGTTCTTTGACTAGACTACTTTAGAAACTGTGTATAAACGGAATCGTGCTGTATGTGTCCTTCATCTGGTTACTTCACTTGGCATGGTTTCCTGTGGGTGACAGCAGATGGATTTGTTTCCTTTTTAAGGCTGAATAATATCTGCAGTGTGGACAGGCCACACCATTTACTCATCCATCAGTGGACACTAGGCTGCTTCTGCATTTGGCTGACAGGAATAACGCTGTGGTGAGCACGGGGTGCAGATTTCTCTGCAAGATCCTGATCAGCTGTTTGGTGCCCTGCTTTGGTGTTCACCTCTGTGGTGTGATCCTTCTTTACCTGGAGATGCACACGTTGTAGGCATCTATATTCTTGCTTTCGTCCAGCTGTGCTGCCTCAGGTGGAGGCCACTTTGGGCTGATTGCCACAGTACTCCTTGTGCTTGAAAAGGAATGAGCTCTGCCACCCCTCCCATGGCTGAGCTGGAAAGGAGGCCTGGGGAGGGGTCTGTGAATAGCAAGAGTCCCGCGTGCGTGAGTCAGGTCTGTGCCAGTCCCACGAGGAGGTCTTTGTCTGGGAAAGTAGGAATCTATTATCCCCATTCTACAGATGAGAACGCTGTGGCAGTGACGTCCTGAGGTCACACAGGCAATCGGAGGCAGACCCCGGTGTGGGCTCCACCTTTCATGGCCAAGGACAGAAGGGCCATCCAACCTGAGAGAGCACTCTGGCTGGGAGACTGTGGGGACGGACCCTCTCCCACTATGGAGGAAATACAGTTGGAAAGTCACCTTGGAGGGCACCCATTGAAAGTGACAGCACCTATTAAAATGAGAAAAGCACAAAACACAGTCCCTTTGCTTCACCCATTCAGCGTGGGTCAGTGCCACTTCTGGGTTCCTGCTCTTGGACCCCGACACCTGTTTACAAGGCTCAAGGACATTTGTTGCAACACTTTGTGACAGGAAAGAGGAGAGAGAGAACCCAAAGGTCCCCTGCTGGAGAGGCAGACACTAATGGACACTGTCCATTTTCCAGGGCCTTCCCTCCATGCCCTCAGAACCCCACCAGCTAAAAATCCTGACTTCCCTCGCAGCTCAGGTGACCATGGGACACGGTTCTGCCCAGCGGGCCCTTTCAGGAGAGCTGTTATTTTCTCATCTAAAGGGCAGAAAGGGGAGAAGAAAGCGGGGCCCTGCCCCGTGCCTGGGGTGTCCAGGTCAGTTCACTGGAGCAGCTGAGACCCGGCCCGGCGCTGACC